TTTTGGACTCCAAAGGGAAAACTTGACATTGATCCTTATGAAATTCCGTCTGGGGAGGTACCAACAGCTGGGAGAGATCACAAATGGCTTCAGGAAGAAGATGGTTCTCGGGCTGGGCTTTCAAGTTCACTAGAGGATTCTAAGAGGAATTGCAGCTGGCTGGGCGAGCCATCTGGTGGTACCCGGGCAGCTGGCTTCAGTATCCTCTTGCTCCGAGGCCCGACTCTCACATTACAGTGCTCCCTGCCCTACCTCGGGCTTGGCTCTCCAGAACTATGTGGGGTAGATTCTTGCTTGTTTCTTGGGCTAAGAGTTTCCCAGACTAATCATATGCAAATTTAACCATGCTGGCCCCTTGGGACTTAGAATGACTTAAACCCCTGGGGTTTTCTGAAGCACCAGCATGAGAGAAACTCTTGATATATTGTCCCCAAATGAGGGGTCTGTTTTGATGCCCTTACAGTGACTGAGCTTAGACCAGTACATTGTTGGGGTTTGGGCTCAAGTTCTAATTTTGCTACCTACTCCCTAGCAAGACTGTAAGCAAATCCCCTCTGCGCTCTGGGCCTGTTTCCTCATCTGTAAAATTAAGGGGTTAGACTGGCTTGTCTCTAGGTCTAGTCTAGCTCTAATATTCCATGGTCTGTGGTAAAGGTCTCCTCCAACTCTATACCAATCCATGACTTCTAAAAATTATGCTGTAGAAAAACTTAGTAAACTTTGCTATTTGAGGTCATTCTTCTAAGCTTTAAGAAATGGGCCAATCAACTGGTACCAAGGTCTGGGAATCGAAAGTTAGGAAAGGGTTAAATGACAATGTTTTGTGTAGTGGGAGAAACACCGGACTTGGAGCCAGCCTGGGCTTGAATTCCATTGAGGTGTATGTACGATCTTGGCCAAGTCCCTGCCCCCTCCCCCGGGGGCCTCAATTTCTTCCTATGGAGAAGGTTATACAAAATGGGGCTGGGAGACTTTAAAGGACTAGAGAAATAGCAGCTGCTATTCCTGCCTTAATTGCCAAAGGAGGCAGCCTGTCTGACCTCTGGAAAAGGGTTACCACCAAGGTGCAGCTTTCTGTGTTTTGAAAAGCCCAGACCTAGAGCTGGAAAGGGAGGTGGAAGGACTGACCCATTGGCACATGGCTGATCTGCAACCAAGTGAGGATTTGAACCCAGCCTCTAACTCCAGAGGTTTTGCCCTTGCTAAACATAGCCCCAATGGTTATTTTACTCACCTCCCGCCATAACCCCAACACTTAATGGGGACTTAGTAAACGTTAAAATTCGTTCTGATGTCAATTGACATTCAGACAGGCAGACAAACATTGAGTCTGAACCAGAGTTCGGCACCAAATAAACACTGTTCAGAAGGGACGATTATTGATTACCAAGCCTCTGAGGCTCCAGCTAGCCCTAGCTGGCCAGCCTCTTCATTTTTGTGTGTGCCCAAACTGTCGGCCTGACTATGGTTAAGCTCGAAGAATGGGTCTAATTCCTGCTTATATAAGGGCTGAGCTGGGCGGGCTGGGCAGTTTCTGAGGTCCAGGCCAACCTGGAGGCTTGAGGACCAGAAGCTAAGAAAGCTGCCTCACTAGACAGAGGTGTTTAGGTACCATTAAGACGAGAGAGGAAAAAGAGAAGCCTTCTGAGGTCCTTCCTAGCTCTGCAGGTCTACAGTTTGGTAATAAGCAGGGATTCCAAAGAATTCCAAAGATTCCCCTATGGGGGGTGGCAGGGATAGGGGATTTCTGCAGAATGAGGCCAAGTCAGACCTTGGTGCAAGAAAGCAAGCCTCATGGTGGGGGGGGGGGATTGGAGGGGGGGGGATAAGTGTCTTCAAATATTTGAAAGGATCAGACTTGTGCTTGGCCCCGGGGGCAGAACCCTCAGAGGCAGCCAGATTAGCAATGTTCCCAAGCAGAAGTCGGCTGCTCACCTCAGGGGCCAACTGAGTTCCAATGCAGTCAGTGCACCAGGCGTTGTGCTAGGCTTGGCAAGGGGGAAGGGAGCTAGCCGATCTCGCAACAAACACCATTTAACAAGGCACTTTATTAAGAGGTTTCCCAAGTTCTAAGTTTGGGGACAAAAAGGCAACAACCAAACCAGTCCCTGCCTCCAAGGAGCTTACTTTGTCAGTGGGAGAGTTACCCATGGAGCATCAGGCTGGGCAGGTGGGCATCTGAAATCCTTCCAATTCAATCTGACAAACTTGTATTACATGCTTGCTATGGACAGAGGTTGTTCGATTCCAATGAGGAAAAACAGTCCCTACCCTGATACAGCTTATAGTCTACTGGAAAGAGACAACCTATACACAGATAGGTAAATAGATACAAAGCAATCTGAAGAGAAATATTACTAATGGCTCAAGGGTTCAGCGAAGGTTTCCCATAGCATCTTAGGTGGAGAGCTGGAAAGGACCTCAGAGACCATCTAGTAAAGCTCTATTGTTTTATAGAAAGGGAAACTGAGGCCCAGGGAAATGAAGGGACTTAGCCAAGGTCACATTTAGCATCCTGTATCTAGAACTGAAGGGACCTCAGAGGTCAAGTAAATCTGATCCAACTTCATTTTACAAAGGAGGAAACTGAGGTACAGGGATGTAAAAGTGTCTTAGAAAGGTCACACAGGTAGTTAAGGAGGGGTCGCCTGAGCTGAGCCTGCAAGGAAGATAGGGGCATTCAAAGGGCAAGGGGCTGGGAGGGGCAACTTATGCAAAAGCTGGGGGGGGGGGGCGCCCGATGGTACTAGCAAGCCTTCCCACTTCCAGTTTTGGAATTCTATAATTGTAAGCCCGCTGGGATGACTGGGAACAAACAGGCATTTGCAGGAGGAGAAAAGCAAACTCTTGTGGGCAATAAACTGGGAGGGGGGAGGGGAGGAGGCTGCTTCAAATGCAACGAAGTCTTTCAGGCAGGAGTAGCGGGCTCTCCAAGCACAAGTAGCTCTCTGCAAGGAGAGTGTCCAGCAAACTTTCCCGCCCTGCAAAATCTTGTTGGCAAGACTGGCCCCTTGCATACTCCCACCCTGCAAACTGCCATCCCAGTTTTCAGGCAGGAATGGAACCCTGAAAACTCTAGCAGACCAAAATAGCCTCTGCCCACACTCTCACCCCTTCCCAAAAACAAACAAAAAGAACAAAACAAACAAACAAACAAACAAAAAAAAGCCTCCAGCCAGCAGGAGTAGCCCCTTTACAGAATTTGCAGGGCAAGAGAAATCCCCGACCTCGAAACTCTTGAGCCTCCCTAGTCTTCCCAGCTACAGTAGCCTCGCTGCAAACTCCCCACCGTGCAAACTCACGCCAAGTAAATAGCCACTTCAAAAGTCTTGCACCCCCCACCCCCAACTGTTTTTGCCAGAAGCTTTCCTGCAAACTCTTGCAGGTAAGCACAGCTGCCAACCCGCTCCCCGCCTTCGCGGGAGGAGTAGCCCCGTCGCAAACTCTCTTACTCTTAAAACTTAGGAGCCACCCCCAAACTAGGCCCCCCCCCCTCTTTCCAGCAGAAGTAACCCTCTTGGAAACTCTCCAGTCCTAGAAATTCTTGCAGACAAGAATAGACACCCTCAAACTCTTGACTCCAGGAGCCACCTCAAAACTTTGGGGGGCATGAATAGCCCCCACAAATGCTTCCGCCCTGCAAATTCCTTGGGGTAGTAGTCCCCAAACTCTCCCGCCTTGCACTCCTTGCGGCAAGAGTAACTCCTCTCCAACTGTCCCATTCTGTAAACTCTTTGGGGGTAGAGTAGTTCCCTCCCCCCAAAAAAAGCATACCCACTCTGCAAAATTCCCCGGAGCAGTAGCTTCCCAATTCTCCTGTCCTGCAAACTTGTTGGGAGAAGAATAGCTCCCCCAAAATCTCTCCCTCCTTGTAAAATTTCTTGGGGTATGAGTAGCCCCCCCCAACTCTCCCGTTCTGTAAACTTTATATGGCAAGAGTAAGCGCCCCCCAACTCCAAGCAATGCCGCTCTGGAAAAACTCTTTAGAGGAGGACCTTCCCAACTCTCTCCTACAAAGCCGTAGGGGCAAGAGTAGCCCCCCCCAGTCTCCCGTTTTGTAAACTCTTTAAGGCGAGACTAATCCGTGCGCCCCCCTCCCTCCCAGCAAACTCGCCCAGCTAAACTTGTAGTAGCTTCCCAAGTCTCCAGTCCCGCAAACTCCCTGGGAGAGGAGTAGTTCCTCCCACCCCAAACTCTCCCGCTTTGAAAAACTCCTTGGGGTAAGCACACCTCCCTCACGCTCCAGTCCTGCAAACACTTTGAGGCAAGTGTAGCCTCCAAAAAACTCAAGTTCTGCAAAACTTCTTGCAGCAGTTAGCACCTCCCAACACTCCCACCCTGCAAACTCCTTACTCCAAAAGTAGCCCCCCAAAACTCTCCCGCTTTGAAAAATTCTTTGCGGGAAGAATAGCACCCCCTACTCTCCCGTCCTGAAATCTCCTCTGGGCAAGAATAGCCCCCTCCCCAAAAAAAGTTCTCTAGTCCTGCAAAAACTTCTTAGGGCAGGAGTAATCCCAGGGTAAATCATCATTAACAGTAGTCTCCACTAACTCTCTCGCCCCGCAGATCTCAGGGGCAGGAGTAGACCGCCCCCCAAAAATCCCCAGGCTCTTTAGGGCAGGAGCCCCCCACTACAAAATATATGGGGCAAGGGCCACCCACTCCTGCAAACTTGAGCGCAATCAGAGATCCCCGGGGACCCCGACGGTCGGCTTTGGGCACTTTGGGGCAGCACGAGGGAAACGCCCTCGCCCCCCCACCCCGGAGCCCCGAACGGTGGCCCCCTGTGGGGAATCGGGGAGGCAGGGAGCCAAGGGGCACGTGGAACAGGAGGAGGGGCGCATGAGTAGCCCGGGACTCCGGAGCGCGGGCCCCTCCCCACGCACCCTGGCCCGCGAGGCGTCCAGCAGCTCCGGGCTCTCCTACACCTCGCGGAGCCCAGTCCCCGGGCTCGCGCTCCAACTCGCTCGCTGCGCATGCGCAGCCACCCTGGCCCTTACCCGGCTCCAAGCGATCACGTCGTCGGTGGTCGAGTCGTTGACCAGAGCCCAGAGCTTAGCCAGGAAACCAGGCACCACCGAGGAAGCCCCCTCCATGACGCTAAAGAGCCGGACCAAGACGAGAAGGTAGCAGACACACTAGAGTCGAAAGCCCAACTCCAACAACTGGCCAAGACGCCTCAGGCTGTCCAGGGCAGGCCAGTCCCCGGCCCCACCCCATTGATGGGGGGCGGAGCCCCGAGCCCGAAGGGGAGCTTCGATTGGTGGCAGGACCACACACGTCACTGGTGGGGCAGGGGGGGACACGTGACCTCGAGACACGCGCTGGGGGGGGGGGGAGCCCGGAAAGGGCAAGGTGCGCTCGAGGGGGGGGGGGAGGGGGGGGGGGGAAGGGGGGCGGGGGGCCCCGACG